AAGAAAAAGGTCTTTTTCCACACAGATGCTGCGCAAGCCATAGGCAAAGTGCCAATTGATGTTAACGCTATGAATATTGATCTAATGTCTATCAGTGGTCATAAGTTGTATGGTCCAAAAGGTAATTTTGTATAAATTATAATTTACTACTACGCAAAAAATAATATTGGTATTTCTTTTATATATATTGATTTAAATAGTAGACATAATAAATAATTATAAAAAAATTAATTATTATTAGAAATTATTTTTAAAAGTTGTATATTAGAAATTATATGATCTTTTGTCTAATATAATTTTCATTTCAATAAGTTATAAAAATTATTCTGTTTATAAAAAAGCTCAGTGCATCTACATTCTTTATTTATCTATTTTGCATTTAGGTATTGGAGCCCTATACGTTAGAAGAAGGCCGCGAGTGCGCGTAGAACCATTGCAAAGCGGTGGCGGACAAGAAAGAGGGATGAGAAGCGGTACTGTACCAGCACCTTTGGTTGTAGGGTTGGGTGCCGCTTGTGAATTAGCGCAGACAGAAATGGACGTAAGTAAAGCAAAAGTTCTGCTTCATATAATTAATTGATGCGTTTGAGGTATTAAAATCTATACTGTATATTTTTTGCAGTATGATCACAGATACATCAACACGCTGTCGAATCATCTGATTGAAAAGATAACGTCAAATTTGCGGCAAGTCGTGCGAAACGGAGATCCCATAGCCTGGTATCCTGGCTGCGTGAATCTGTCGTTCGCCTGCGTAGAAGGTGAATCGTTATTAATGGCTTTGAAGGACGTGGCATTGAGCAGCGGTTCGGCTTGTACCAGCGCGAGCTTGGAACCCAGCTACGTGCTCAGAGCAATCGGTGCCTCGGAAGATTTGGCACATTCCAGTATCAGGTATATATTTTGAAATACAGGAACTTCGCTCATCATTAGTCCACGGCTGTGTTCAAATATACACTATCAGTATTAAAAATCTGTAATGTACGTGACATGAACGTAGTTCAATATTAGTAGTGCATTAGAATGCAGCCATTATGAAACGTTGGAAATATCATTCGAACGCTTCCGTGTGTCATTTTATACTTTTACTAAATGTTCAGTAAGCTATTTGAAATGATATTTCCGAACGTGCCTTAGTAATTTTATATTTTATCGATGTAACTTGCGACTTGTTTAATTAGGTTCGGCATCGGACGATTTACAACGTTCGAGGAAGTCGATTACACCGCGGACAATACGATACAACATGTAAAGCGACTTCGGGAGATGAGGTAATACGTTCAGCAATTATCATATAAATGTTTATTTCGAGAGATGTGGTGAAGGAACTATGTTAGATTTACGTACACGTTATACTTTGGCGTTATATCTTTACAATTTGAAACGATTGAAATCTCGTTTCGCGGAGGGAATGACTTTATCGTTGGACGTTTCATGAGATCGTGATTATCTCTATTTCTCTCTATCGTCTGATATGCATCTATTAGCCATGACATTACGTGAAAACATACCAAAATTTTAATATTTTTATTTTTTTATAGCCCACTATGGGAGATGGTGGAAGATGGTATCGACTTGAAGACTATCAAATGGACTCAGCACTAGTGCCTGGTTATCGTGTAACCTTTACAAATTTAAATAGATAGTATGTATATTTATCAATGTATAATATAATACCGATCGTGTAAATCATATTAATAGATCAAGCTTAGTTGATTAAGATATAATTTCACAACGTAATAAATTTTCAAGAAAGTTATTTTGCTGTCGCGTTATCCTAGACCTGATCCGATCGTGGCGCGCAACTTGTGTATATATTACGTATATCACTTTCATGGATTTTCCCTTCCTCTGCGAGACGCAACTTTCCCTCATAGGAAAGTCACGTGTGATAAGTGCTCGATATAAAAGATTCCATTCAGTTTTTTCCTTAAACTTTAGAGATTCTCAGAAAGTGCATGTCGGCGAATGTCAATTACAAATTAGCACAAACACGATGGGTCGGTTGCTTCGTCGACGTATGAAATCTTAAATCGATCCTTGTCCATCTCATGAAGTTCCATTCGCGATCGATTCGCCTCGACCAGATGTTGTGCTATATCCTCAAACATCTCATTTACACCTTCGCCAGTTTTGCACGACGTTTTGTATATCCCCGAAATCAGATTATGACATTGTTCGCTAGAAGATTTAATTTTTTTTTAATTTTTTAATTTTTAATTTATCATATATAAAAGAAGCGTACTCTCTAAATCTTTTAGAGTGGAATCTCTTTTAGAGAGATTCTAACAAGTGGATTCTAACAAGTAAATATTTAGCCAGTTTTAAAAAAGAGTAGCACAATTTTCAATTCTTAAGAGTGAGATTTTACTCTTCAAAGTAAGATTCACTCTAAAAATTTTAAAGAATACACACTAGGAAACTATTAAAAATTATGAGTACCAGAATTGTTCCATCTCTGCGTCCGTAACTTGTGGCGCGACGCTTTCCACGTCGCTTTTGTTTCCACAAAGGAATATCTTCGCATTCTCCGCATATGTAACTATGTCGAGCAAATGTTGAGACAACAAATGAAACGATGTCGAGTTATCCAGGGCAAACACCAGAATGGCAGCCTCTGCAAACTTGTAGTAACTTGAAGTAACAGATGCCCCTCTTTCCATACCGCCGGTGTCCCATAATTGCAGCTGAGAAGAACAAAAGTCAAAAATATGTCAATTTTATAAAGTCACAAGGACAATATCATGTTTACTTTCTGTAAATACTCTGAAGATTATTTAAATTTCTCAACTATAATGTTTCTTGATACACTGTGCTTAAGTTAAATGAAGCAACTTATACAGAACTTATTAGTCACATTTAATGTGTATAAGTATATATAATAAGTTAAGCTCATGCAAACAATCACTCCAATATTTACGTACGCTTACTGATTTCAGTCTGACAGTTTATTGCACGCAGTTTGGATTCAGCAGGAAATAGGCCAGTAATAAACGAAATCAAGTTCTATGGAATCCCATGGCAATTTGCATGCAACTTGATGATCAATAAAGGGAAAACGAAGAAAATAAGGCAGAATTTTCCAAAGTGATTGCGTATATTTCCCGTTACATGAAAAAGTGCAATCGATTCACATGTAAAGTAAAGTTGATACTCACACGTATCCGTCTGTCTTCGACGACGTATTCCTTGTCGATGTTGTCAAGGCCCAGGGTCGACTTGCGGTCGTTGCTGGCGACGAACGTGTTGTTGGCGAAGCGCCGGAATATAGACGTCTTTCCGACGCCGTATTCGCCGCACAGTATAACCTTCTGCTCTGTCACCTTGACGGTCGCCATGTCGTGGCGCGGCGCCGGCTGAGATCACTGCTGGCGAGTGCACGCGCACGTCTCTCATTCAATGAGGTCGATGTGAACGACGTGAACTCACCCTATCCATCATGAGAGTTTCTAAACACTACGAACCGCTCCAGTTCTAGACTCCAGGACCATGACCCGCTTCCATTTAGCCTCCACCTCTATGAGCCGTGACAGTGACGATTAATTAGATTTGCCTTCTATAGAGTGTATAACGAAATAGATAATATGAGCACATTAGATTGATTTTACTTCATTGAAGTAAGCTGTCCTTTTTTCTTTTTTTTTTGTCATTTATTAATTTTTGTCATATAGAAAATTAATTTTGTTTTAAAAAAAATGGGAATTATTTTTAAAAAATGGGAATTATTGCATGAAATGGGGAATATTGATTTTAAGCAGACATTTTTATTTTGATTAAAAATTTCCCTGATATATTTATGCA